ATATATAATGCATAGTGGAATTCTCCAACATGTTTTAAGATCCTCTCTTTTATCAATTCTTGTAAATTTTACTTAATTCAGCTTATGGCTGCAATGTAAATTTCAATAAACTATCTATCTATCTATCTATCTATCTATCATATGAGCCAGCCTGGCCGACAAACCAGGCCCGCTCGCTTTGCTGGACCAAGTTGTTATTTGTTTCACATGAGGCGGGCCAGTCCGGATCAGCGCTATAGAAATTCCCACGCGATGTTCAGTGGGAACGCGACATTTGTTTTAATTTTGAAAAATGCTCTTTTTTATGGAAACTGCTTTAGAAGTCTTAATTTTGTTCATTTCTTGCAAATTAAATTTTTTTTAGATGCTTCCTAGATAGAATAAATCATGCGTTGTGAGCGTCGGAAAGTTCTGACGGACTCGGACGCTCAAGCAGTTCATTTCAGTGAGATGTCGATAATATTTTAGCTATTTTGTTAATATAAAAAGCGGAGTATATCAAAAAATAGTTTGTCTTTATTAAAAGATTTAGCATCTCACTCAAATGAATAATATTTGTTGGGTATGGTGCGTGTTAAGACGCTTTTGGTGATGTAAGTTGCATATCATGTTTCAAGATATTGCTTTAAGAGAAGCGTTTTAGCTTCTCATAATTCCCCAAGGGAGGGGTACCGTATTTCTGAGTATTGGAGAGAGAGGGAATTAAGGCTCTCGTTTTTAAAATCGGATCGTCATTAAGCCTTTGTAATATTCTCTGTCTATGGTGCTGTTTAAGGAGCCGTCGTCCCCCGCGGCTGAAAATTATTTAGTCCCTATTTTAATTAATATTCCTTCAGTTAAATATACAGTATTGTGCGGGGGGAGCGAGCATTGGGAATATATTACTATTCTCACTGGGAGATTTCTATACAATTTGAATATTTATGCATGAGATGATTAGTTGATTATCCATATACACCTCGTGATTATCAGACAGTACAAAAGTAGCACAAAATCGTTTTTTTTTGAGCATTTGCCACCGAGAAGGAAGGACGGCATTGAAATGTTTTGAGGTCCACCCACTTCCACTCTGCTGCGACATTTTCGGAGCTAACTTCGCCGCACTCTACCTTTGGCTTAAAATTCTCTACCCCCAATCTTCATGATTCCTTCAGTTAATTAAAGGTATTGCGCGGAGGAAGCGAGCAGTGAGAATATATTACTATTACGGTTAGGCTTCGAACGTTTGGTGGTTCCTATTGCTAAATTGTGTTATTATTATTAGGTTCAAGTTGTTGCAAATTGGTTAGAGTTAGGATTAGAGTATGAAGTTGCCGAGGAAGTTTCAACGTCATATTTCTGAAATAACACAAAACTAACGAAATTAAATCTTCATTATCGCATTAACATTGGTGGTATGATGTAGTGGAGTGTGTTGTGATTGGTTTTGTGGCGTGGAATGGTTTGGCGTGTTTGCTGTAATGTAGTATTATTGTAAATAGTGTTATATATGATATTTATAAAAAGTTGTTTAGATTTTGACAGTTATGAATTGCGTGATAAACAAAGATCACGCAAGTTAGCGTAAGCAGAAAGAACCGTTAGATTTGAGATACCTAAGTTGAGAGACGGAGTTTGTAGTATATTTCAGGTAGATAATTGTATATTTATTGAGCTTTGACAGTATTAGTAAAAGTCAAATTGAACCATTGTGTGGCAACGTTACGTTTGGTGGCAGCGGTTAGCGAAATGAGAGAGAAATGAGCAAGAATAAAGCTTCGGGTCGATCGTCTGGGAAAGACTTAGTGAGACAGGCGAAGAATGAACGATGACAAGACCTATTGTTATGCCAGACGTCTATACTGGAGAAGATTGGATTGATTGGATTACCAATTTTGAACTGTGTGCAAGAATAAACGAGTGGGACAATAAATCAAAGTCCGCATTCCTAGCCGTGAAGTTGAAGAAACAAGCCCAACGAGTTTATCGAGATCTTTCAAGTGTCGTAAAAGAGAATTACGATGAATTAAAAGCTGGCTCATGGCAACCCGTTTTTCTGCAATGAAGCATGCCGACCTACACAAAACGGAATTACGGTTTGTTAAACGAGAGAAAATCGAAAAACTTACCGAACTTGCAAAGAAAAAACAATTGATGTTAAATTCCGTGATTAATTGTGTCGAGATCAATTTCTAGATGCTCTTGAAGATCGTGAATTTCGTCTAAAAGACGATGTGTGAGATTGCTGGAGAAGAAGTAAGCATGTTAGTCGATACGGGTTCAGCAGTTACATTAATTCATAGACGTTTATGGGATAAGATTAAAGCATGTTATGGACCTTTTGACCCTGGTCCCCAGTTATCGCCGCGAACAGTTGTAGAAATGAGAGTAGCGGGTATCTACGCCCAGGGGCGGATCCATGATTTTTCGTACGTTAGTCAAAGTTTTCGGATGTACAATGAAATTTTTATATTTTTAAACCTCAGAAACGCAATTTGCATCACACTGAAAGCAGCTTCAACAAAAAATTAACTTCATGAAATGGGAGATAATTATAGCAACAATCAGTCTGACTGACTCCCACAACTCGCTCCTTAGGGAAAAGTAAAGGGGAAGTACTTGCAGAAATGTGATAATTGTGGAAGATATTTCATTTTATCAAATAACGGATTGGTAGTATTATGTTTAACTATCTCATGATAGTACTACACTCATTTTTGTTGCCTAATAGCCTTGTTGAGTCATTGATCACTTGACTAGTAATCACTACAGTGTCATATTACTCAAATAAACATAATATCATTATTAAAGTCTTAACATTCATCTATAAAACATGACCTTTATATCCTATGTATACTGCATTAATGCATTTATATAGGTTATCCTCCATATTAATAGCCTTCTGAGTTCTGACGGTCCTTCAACCGCAGAATTACAAATATGCAAATTTGTTGTGTAAATCCAAATTCGTAACTAAATCTAAATCAAGATACGCGTATTCAAGTTACAGTTTTACATATGCATGGCGTGCATCTTGTTCGCTTGTAAATATTGTTATACTGTCTAAAACGAAATAAAATTTACATATCACATTAAATTTACGTTATTGCACTTCGGAATAAAGATCTCGGCGCTTAGCAACTGCTCGCTGAATGGAACTCTTCGATATTTAGTGTTGATCTACCTCCCAAGATCAGCGCAACAGTCTTGTAAGACAGCTAAATCATTCACCGCAAATGTAGATTGAACCGTTTCGTAAATACTACAAACCAATGAGTAGCAGACATTTCCGAATTTTCCGTAGATATCTTTAAATTGAATCTTTCGACAAAGCTCCAACATGACACTTCGAATGAGCGCGCGCTCGGAAAGA